GGGGGGGGGGAGGGTAATTTTAAAAAATATTAATTAAATTAAATTGTGATCAAGCTTATTTGAAAAAACTAGATGTTATTGCTTTAATAAATTTCAATTGTCATCTTATTTGTCAATGTAATAGAAGATATATATTGTATTACTCTTAAAATATATATTTTTTATTTTAAATCTTATCCTATTGTTCTCAACAATATTATCTGAAATTTAATGAATAAAATCTCTATCAAATTAATGAGACTTATATAGGCATCTAATTATTAATTAAATAATTAATTATTAATTGCTTATGCCATGTGGCTTTTTCTAGGCTGCCACTTGGCTTAAGGAGAAGGTTTTTTCCTCTCATTTTAATAATATATAGATATAGATATTATCCAATATTTAATATTATTGCATTGTTAATAGAAACTTTTATTAGCATCTCATTTTAATTTTTGTATGCTACTTTCTTTTTATAATATAATAGATGATACATAATTTTTTATTTTTTATTCTATTATTCTCAATAAGTTTTTTTGAATAAATAAAATTTTTAGTTTTAAAAAGGAAAACATTTTATTTTTAAATTGGCGGTTTTTTATTTTATTTTAGTTTATATTTTAAAATAATTTAAAACTCCAACTTGAAACTACTCTTCAATTTGATTGGACAGTTTTTTCAATAATTTTTGTTTTATTATTATAAAATATTTTATTTTATAGATATTTAAATTCAAAAACAATAACCAATAACTAATTATTAACTACTTATGCTATGTGGTTTTTTTCTAGGCTGTCATTTGGCTTAAGCAGAGGATTTTTTCCTTTCCTTTTATAATATATAGAAGATAGATAGCCAGCCACATACAATACTTACTTTTTTATTGATTATGCACAATTATACATATATTATATATCTGTCGGGTATTTCTAGTTTAATAGATTAAGCATACGACTATTTGAATTAATTCTTTCAAGGAGAAATTTTGGGGTTAGGAAGCACCGGCATTTGGGTTAATTCTTTCAACAAAAATACTTATCAACATTTTGTATATGTACCCAAAAGGATAAGTGCACGGCTTGTGTTTTTTACCTAAGTTTATTAGTAGTATTTAAATTATGATTAATTATATGTATTATTTTTCAATTATTATTTAATCATATTAGATTTAATATGGTTTGGTGCATATATCACGAATTCATACGCACTTATTTCATTCCTAAAAAACAATAAAATGGAAAAAAAATTATAAGGTTCAAGTAAAAGTTACATAGAATTGAAAAGGATGAATTTTTATAAGGAAGAAAACTTTAAATGAAATTACAAAAGTGGAATATGTGAAATGAAATTATTCAGATATAATATTATTTGTTGCGTAATAAGACTGAAAGACGGCAAATTTAATCTGAAGTTGTTGGAATCTTTTAAAAGGAGTTGTCTTACTTTGAGAAGTCGTCTTTTTACCTTCGTTTACTACATATGAAACTTTATTACCCCTAATCAAGTTTTAGCTTAATTACATGGGCATATATAATTTACCAATTATATACAATTCGTATTAATGAGTATCCCTTTATATTAGGAATTGAATAGGGAATTATTTATTTCTCATCCCTACTCTCTCTCTCTCTCTCCGTCTCTCTCTTTCTATCCTTCTCTGTTCTTTCTCCAATTTTCTTCCTTCGTTTCTCTTCTTTTTATCCTCTTTTTTTTCCAGCAATTTTCTTTCATGTTGCATGTAAGCACGTGATTTTTGCTTCACGGATAATCGCTCCAAAAGAAAATAAAAATAGTGACAAATGACTTCGCTGTACAAATTTTTCGATTTTTCCGTGACATGTGTTGTTAGTCATTTATGGGTCTGTCCATTTTACATCTAATCATTGTCAAACAAAATACAAAAAATATGTGTCATTAAAAGAAATTTAAAAAAATATATATATGTGCATCGTTCGTTCTGGGTTGTGATTTAAATTACTTAAACAAGTTAATTTGGTGTGATAATTATGTTAAAATGCTACATTGTTGTTTGTTTTAATTCCATTTGTTTTATTACCTATTTTTTATTTTTCATTTGTTTAAAAAAAAAAATTTAGAAAACAAAAAGAAAAGAGTTGAAAATCGGTTTGGGCCCAAAAGAAATAAAACAAAATAGGCCCAAACAGGCACTCAAGTCCAGTCCAAATCCGGCCTGCCCAAGCACCAATTCAAACGACGCCGTTTCAGGCAGGTCGATCTGAGCCGTCTAAGCCTCTTGATCCAACGGTCCACATACTCACCCGTGACCCGACCTGTTTAGCCGGTCCAACCCAATCCATCACTTAAACCCAAACGACACCGTTTTAATACCAAA